GGAGAGGAGAGGAGAGGAGAGGAGAGGAGAGGAGAGGAGAGGAGAGGAGAGGAGAGGAGAGGAGAGGAGAGGCACTGTTGGATCCCCTCCCTGTGCTGCTCCTGCTCAGGAACACAACCCGTTATCAGAGGGAAACCCCAATTCCCTTCTCCCCCCTGCAGAACCCCTTTGGTGCTGCTGTGCCCTCTGCTAAAGGCACCTTTGGAAAGCACTTCAGGCCCTGAGGAAAACACCCCAGAACCCCTTATTTACACCTGAGATTAACCCCGTGCTGCCCCCAGCCCCAGAGCCACCCCGGGGTGGCAGCCCCAGCCTGGGGCCGGCCGGTGCCACGCGAGGCGCCCCACGAGTGGCCCTGTGGGCACACACACACTCAGAGCTGGCACTGCTGTCACACGGAGCACTTGGCCATGTCACCCTTGTCAAAGACGACTTTGGTTGCGAAGTAGATGGCGACCAGGCCCAGCCCCGCAGCCGACACCATGTAGGCAGTGACGGACTGGGTGAACTGGACGATGGAGCCCATGAAGAGCGAGGGCACCACCTGGGAGAGGAGGAACGCGCTGTCCAGGATGGCCAGGTCCAGGCAGATCCCCCGGCCGGGAGCCCCCGGCTCCGGCTCTCCCACCACCATCCGGAGGGAGACGTCGCAGGGGGAGCCGACGCACAGAGCGGAGCTGGACACGGCCGGTGGCGAGGAGGAGGGTGGGGAGGAAGATGAGGAGGAGGAGGAGGAGGAGGAGGAGAAGAGGCTCCCAGTGTGGCCGTTCTGGTAAGACAGCTTCTGGCTGGAGAGCAGCCCCTTGGAGAAGGATGATTTCTTGTCCTGCAGAGCGGCGTCTTCCTCCTCTTTCCTCTTGTATTTATGCAGAAATACCTGAGGGAGGCAGGGAGGTGAGTGAGGAGGGAGCTGGGGCTCTGGGAGGTGAGGAAGGAGATTGGAGTCTGGAAGATGAGTAGGGAAGGAGTTTGGGCTCTGGGAGTGAGTGGGGAAGGAGTTGGGGCTCTGGGATGTGAGTGGGGAAGGAGTTGGGAATCTGGGAGGTGAGTGAGGAGGGAGTTGGGGCTCTGGAAGATGAGTAGGGAAGGAGTTGGGAATCTGGGAGGTGAGTGAGGAGGGAGTTGGGGCTCTGGGAGGTGAGTGAGGAGGGAGTTGGGGCTCTGGGAGGTGACTGAGGAGGGAGTTGGGGCTCTGGGAGGTGACTGAGGAGGGAGTTGGGGCTCTGGGAGGTGACTGAGGAGGGAGTTGGGAGTCTGACGGGGCCTTGTTTCTTTGTTTTTGTGCAGGAGAGCAAACCCAGAGCTTTGTGTGTGTTCAGGGGAGTGCCAGCCTGCGCCTGGCCCACGTGAGATGGGCTCTGGGAGCCAGGCTGGCTCTTCCTGATTGGCACAGGATCCAAAGCAGCCCTGACTCACGGGGGAACCCAGCCAAGCCAGGCCTGGGCTGTGCTCAAGCTCTGGGGCTCAGCAGCCCAAAGCCAGCCTGGGGACATTTGTGCTGTCGTCACCTCCTCACGGGGTGCCAGAGGAACCTGCCCCGAGCCCACCCTGAAATCACCTGAGGCAGGGCAGGAGTGAGGGGCCAGGGTCTGCTGGGATTTCAGACACCCAGGGCAGTGCCAACAGGAACTTTGGGGTTTGTGGGGGTGGCTGACTGGGAACCCAAACCCAGACCTGGCATGAGCAGCCACTCCTCATCTGGGACGCTTCAGAGTGCCACCAGCTGGGACACGGCAGTGCTGGGAACTCCGGGCAGGGCTCTGCTCTCAGCTCTGCCCCAAACCTCAGCCAAGCTGCTTCCTCTGCCTGCCAAGCTCCTCCTCGCTCCAGCCACGAAAATGGGGCAGAGGGAACCAAAATCTTTTCCTTCTCACTCTTTTTTTCCTCGCTCTGCTCAAGCTGTGAGGTCTCTGGAGCGTTCCCACATTTGTTAACACCAGCAGACCACGGGCAGCAGAGACCAAAGCCAGCTGTGCCCTCCCTGCCTTTCCCTGCCAAGCCTTTGGCAGAGCCTTGGGAATGTGGCCTTCCCCTTCCCAGCCTGTGGAGTTTGGGTTTCATTCCATTGATAAAACATCCATGGGAGATCCCAGCCAAGCTGCAGCTCCTGCCAAGCTGAAGGTTCCCTGAGCCCCCGTTCCGATGGGACGCCTGGTGCCAATTGGGATGGGCTGTTCCCGGGGGTTTGTTCAATGGGAACATCTGGATGCCTGTGGTAACAGCTCCTCCTTATTCCACGGCACAGCCAGCCACTGCCCTTGGGATGAAAGAGCTGCTCTCAAACCACAAATTAATTCTGCATTTGCAGCACAAGAGGAACTCCCATTAATCCAGATTGCGACTCAGGAACCTCCGAGGACTTCTCCACAAGGATAACATCTGTGGGACAGGGTTACAAGCTTTTGTGCTGCTGTCACAAGTTTCACAAGGTTTCTTTTTCTTGGAGCTGAGGGAATAGGAAGAGCTTGGGTTTTCATTCTACTGATCGTGGTGCTGTGGATGAAAACTGGAAATCAGGACCCGTGAGGGCTGAAAATCTTTGGGTTTTGCAGCACCTCAGGCTGGCAGAGCTGCAGAATTCACACGGGGATAACTAAACCAGAGCAATTTCCCTAAAATACAGGAAAAACAGAAAAACCCACAGGGCCAGGCCGCCCTGGAGCAGATGCCCACCTGTTTCTCGTGGTGGTAGAGGGACGCCAGCGTGTAGGGCAGGATCTGGAGGGCAGAGAAGGTGAAGCCAGTCAGGGCAGCGGAGATGGTGACCACGGTGACACTGCGGGACAGGCACATGACAAAGGCCAGCCCGGGGAAGAACACCACGCTGGCCAGGTACACTGCCCGTGTCCCAAAGTGCTTCACCAGCCAGTCCATGATTGTCGAGAAGAAGATGGAGGTGATGCACTGCAGGAAGAGGCCCAGGCTGCCCATCCGGACACCTGCGGGTGGAGAGGGGTGGTGGGCACTGCCCTGGCTGCCCCTGGATTCCACAGCCAAACATCCTGCTCTCAGTCCTAAACCCAAAAACATCCTTCTCTCTGTCCCGAACCCCAAAACCATCCTTCTCTCAGTCCTAAACCCAAAAACATCCTTCTCTCAGTCCCAAACCCCAATACCATCTTTCTCTTGGTCCCAAACCGAAAAACATCCTTTCCTCTGTCCCAAACCCCAAAACCATCCTCCTCTCTGTCCCAAATCCCAGAAACATCTTTCTCTTGGTCCTAAACCTCAAAAACATCCTTCTCTCGGTCCCAAACCCCAAAACATCCTTCCCTCTCCATCAGTCCCAAACACCAGAAACATCCTTCACTCACTGTCTGTCCCAAACACCAAAAAATCCTTCCCCCTCCATCAGTCCTTAACTCCAAAACCATCCTTCCCTCTTTGTCAGTCTCAAACCCCAAAAACATCCTTCTCTTGGTCCCAAATCCCAAAATATTCTTCCTCTCTGTCAGTCCTTAACCCCAAAAACATCCTTCCATGTCAG